AAAAAAAAAAAAAAAAAAAAAAAAAAAGGTAGAAAATAATGTAAGAAAAGTGTTGGGAGATTCTCAGAAATGAAAAAGTTCTTCGTGAGTTTTCACACTGAGTCATCCCAATCTTTTTCTCACGTTCCCGTATCTTGAAATCTTGGACAGTTGAAAAGGAAAATAGCAATACTGATTCGATGGGTGGATGTCAACCATCGGATATGGCTAGAAACTCCTTTTCTCTTGCTCTCAAAGGTAATTTGTTAGCCGGCTCAGTGATAATTGATAATTGATGATCAGTCTTGGATAAAAATATTTACTTCACTCAACGCTTCTTACAGAATGTCGGGATCGGAGAACTAGATCCGAAGCTTTATTGAATAAGGTAGACAGGCAAAGAGCTGCTTCATTGGACCTGAATAATGTCACAGTCTCATCTCCTCGTCTGGAAATCATGAGAAAGAGCTCTTTCTCACCTATGACATCTGATGCTAGTATGTTACATAGTCCTGCTGTGACGAGCTGTAGGCCTGCCAATGCTGAAATCCAAAAAGGTTGGAGCTCAGAAAGAGTTACCTTACATAAAAATTATAGCTTGAAGCAAGCGACTACGGCATTCTTGCCTTTCAGTAATGGGAGAACACTGCCATCAAAGTGGGAAGATGCAGAGCGGTGGATCTTCAGTCCTGTTCTCAAAGATGGCGTAGTCAGATCTTCTGTCCCTCCACCTCAGAGGCGGCCCAAGTCAAAAAGTGGCCCACTTGGATTTCCTGTTATTGCATACAATTCGTTGTATTCACCCGGAATGCTGATGCTCGAAAGATCAAAGGAGGTGAATTTCGTGTCTTCACCCTTTTCAGAAGGGATGGTTGCTGCAGATGGATTGGCAGTTCATTCGAGTGGTCGTGAAGCAGACAACCCTGCACAAACTCAGCCTTGCATATCACGCTCTGTTAGTGTGCATGGCTGTTCTCAAACGAGGAGTGAGTTTTCATTGACTAATTCAGTTGGTACAAGTTTAATTTTCTTTGAACAACATCTTCATTATGCCATGGTTGAATTGGTCATCAGATAGATTGAAATATGTCTAAATAGTTCGTCCTTTTGTTCTGGAGCATGTCAAAAGGGTATTAGTTCACGGATGTTGATAAAATCTGAATTATAATGATTTCAAGATTTTCTAATCCTTCAAAATTACCAATTCTAACCGCTAAACATTTAAATGTAGCTCTGAACTCTAATGGAGTTGACAACTCAGTCAAGAGTATATCTCGTGATGTTTCAAGAAGGGACATGGCGACCCAAATGAGCCCAGCTGATGACTTTAAATCATCTTTGGAGATTAGACCGCCTATCTCTATTGCCACTTCTTCTGTCCAACCCATTAGGGAGCTAAAGAGTCTGTCTTACTCGAAATCAGAAGTCAAGGACGTCGAGGTTGATGGTCGTGTTACCCTGACTAGGTGGTCTAAGAGACACAAATCCCGGATTCCATGCAAGAGTCAATTTCATAAGAAAGATGCAGAGCCTGTGATCTGTGCTTGGGATGTACCTGACACAACAAGGAATATCTCAAAGTACGTAAATTCTTCTACATAATCATATTGATATAAGATGGTATAATGCATCTCAAACTCTTCAAAACAATAAAAATGAATTTTGAAGAGCCTTTAAATATTGAAGAAAATAATGATTGCATCAAAGGGAAACAGAAAAGATATGCTTTCTGCATAACATGAAGGTTGGGACTTTGGTGTTGATTGACACTCACACTGCCATTAAACTGATGATAAGAATTCTATGAATTAGCAAAAGTTATACTGCGGAAAATAATATAACATTACCATTGACTGTTGCCACCCCACTCTTTTACCAGAGTAATGAGAGAGGAGGCAAAGATCACAGCGTGGGAGAATCTTCAGAAGGCAAAAGCTGAGGCTGCTATTAGGAAGTTAGAGGTAATCTTCAACTCTACCTTCTACATTATTGACATATATATATATATATATATATATATATATATATATATATATATATATATATATATATATATAATCAAATGTGGCTTGCAATTTACAGAGTCTACTGTTTTCCTTATCCTTATAAAAGGCTGTCTTTGGTTCAATCAATTTTTCTCTGATATATTCACCATATATAGTGAATTCCTTTTCGTAACACAAAATGTTGAAACTTGTCTTTTGAAATTTATTGCTTCATTACCATAGTTATTGTAGTTATAGTCCTCATTGTTATTTGATTATACCGCTATGCTGATCTTTTATATAATTTGCCATGCTTGATATTTTTGTTTCTCATGGGGAATTATGAGCATGCAATCTAAATTCTCACTACTCTGAGGGGATATGGACATTTAAGGTATTGTGACTTATTTGGAAATATAATTCAGATGAAGCTAGAGAAGAAGAGATCATCATCCATGGATAAGATCATAAAAAGGTTGAAATCTGCTCAGAAGAAAGCTCAAGAAATGAGGAACTCCGTGCTAGCTAATCAGATGAACCAAGTTGATGGGTCTTCTCATGGAGGAATATCTTCTGTCAGAAACCTTCAGCGGACTTCGTTAAGTGGTTGCTTCACCTGCCACGCTTTCTGAGGCTGGCTCAAGGAAATTTCTGGTTTATATCCCAGATAACCTTTCTGCTATAAGGAAGTCTTTAGTCATTCTTTCTCCCTGCAAAATCCTCCCAACCAACCAAAAGAAGGAAAAGAAAAAGAAAAAGAAAAAGAAAAAGAAAAAGAAAAAGATAAAGGAAAGTCTGGATTTTCTTTCAAATTACAAAGGTATTGAAAGCCTGTAAGGTTCATTAGGGATGTAGCGTATATGATACATTTGGATGTCTCTTGATTGTAGGAGATCCATTCTGATGAATTTCCATCTTATGATTATCTTTCTAATCCACTCATAATTTTAGCTTGACTTTCACTTTCTTCTTCTACATAAACAAGTGTGTTTGGTAAAATTACTTTGGAATTGAGAATCATAATTGGCCATTGATATCATTGCCTACTACTTTAGAAGGCAATCGAATTTAAATTAACGTTAGACTAACATGCAAGTAAAAGGAAGATGAAAATTTTATGTTAATCCTCATCATCGTATGTTTTTTAGTAGTCAGGTTCTATGCAGTAGTCTTCATTTCCAAGAATCTCCTGAGGTACGTTTAATTTTCCTAAACGGGTGGAATTAACATAGTCCGTAGGACTGTGAGCGGTGAGCCCTGGAATAAACAGTCCAATAAACCTTACCCCTTTCATTGGCAAACTCTCATAGTAATCATAACCCTTCACGAATGGGATCACGAAACTCCTTATAAGCTCCAACCATGCATTTAGATACTTGGGCACCAGCCATAGCAACGAGAAATAGTTCTTGTTTGGCTGCTCCTTCACAATCTGTAACCAACATTCAATATTCTTCCTCATAACTCATTTTTTGACAAATTGGAAGAGAGGGTTCTTAAATTTTGTTCTTACTCTGCCTCTGTAAAGACTGTCAAAATAGATGCAGCTGCCGAAGTGTTTGTATTTGAAAATGATGCCATCAGCGGGAAGTCTAGGCACCAAGTCACTAAAATAAACGTATCTGTGATATTCAAAGTTGTATTTTTGGATGATGCTTACCATAAACTCTGCAAAATGTCGGTCACCGGCTCTCGGCTGGCCGTAACTGTAGATGGCCTGTAGCTTCTCTAGCACCGTTGACTCATCATGAAGGCCAAGTATGGCAACGAAGAGGATAGCGAGAGCTGCGCCTAAGCTGTGACCGGTGAAGATGAACCTTGCATTGGCATTGCTTTTGGCAATGTCAATGAGTTTTTGACGGAGAGTGTAGTAAGCGAATTGGGTTGTTGTTGTTGTTGATGGAATGAGTTCTTTGGGCCAACCTTTACGCTTTTGGAGGCCGAGAGCCTTCATGAAGCCACTATGAATGCGGCCAACGCCATGAATGTCGTACCAAGAGAAGTCCACATTTACTTGCCAATCGAATGCGTCCAGTGGAGAAGTCCCTCTGAAAGCTACCACTATTATGTTTGGATCTGAGGCTGTGTTTTGAAACATGAATGCTTGAGTCGTTGCTCGGTTTTGGAAATCTAGACATTTTATAACCGACTTCAATTAGATACTCACTTTCGGATCGGATTTTAATCCATCAATCTCAAAAGAAAAAAAAAAGATGGAATTAAGAAATTCTAACTATGACCATAAATCCAATGCCGTACCATTCCAGAAATCGTAGTAACCGAGTAACTTCATCTGCAAGAGAAAAGGAAACAAAGAAAAGCTAAAATGTTCAACTATGTATCTTAATAGGACAGTTTGGAGTATTCAAGTTTACCTTCCAACGATCGTTCACGACGGATTCGACAAAAGGAAGGGATTCATAGGACAGTTTGGAAGCCATTACAGTTAGGGCACTATAATATCTGAAGGTGTCGTTAGGTTTTATGGAGCTATCCAAATCTCTTCTCCAATCTGTAAATCCCACAACAGACGTATAATCTGGCGAATTTTTATCAGGCTGCACCAAAGTCTCTCCTGCACATAATTAATATCCTTGTTGAGGATCGTTGGGAGAGAAGTCCTACATTGACTAATTAAAAGGAAGACCATGGGTTTATAATTAAGAAATACTATCTCCATTGAAATGAGACTTTTGGGGGAACCAAAAGTAAAGCCACAAGAGTTTTTATGCTCGTAATAGAGAATATCATACCATTGCGGAGATTCGTGATTCCTAACATGGTATCAGAGTCATGCCCTAATGAGATCCGTGATTCGAACAAAGAAGTTAGTCTCGAAAGTGTAGTCAAAATATTTTGTCGAACGAAGGGTGCTCTTTGTTTTAGGGCTCTAGAGAATGAGTTGAGCCTCAATTAAGGAGAGGCGGTTCGAGGGCTCCATAGGCTTCAGGGAGGCTCTATGGTGTACTTTGTTCAAGGAAAGGAGAGGATTGTTGGAGGAGAGGTTGTTTGAGGGTTCCATAGGCTTCTCGGGAGGCTATATGGTGCATTTTGTTCGAGGAGAGCATTGTTAGGAGGGGAGGTTGGTTGATGGTTAACATAAAGAATATGAAAAAGTGAGTAAGAAATACCTCGCATCAACTTGATGAAAAGGCGCAGAATGCCACCATTGAAGGAGACGAAGTTGAAGAGTTTTTGGAGGAAGACATCTAAGTAAGCGAGCGGGGTGGCGATGGTGAGAATGAATATCTGCAACAGCAAGGAGACGAAGATCATTAATCGATCAGCAAAGCTTGTGTAAGAGTCTTCGTTGGCGTCGGGACAATCCATCAACTTCCTCTTTTTGAAGCCAAAAGGAAGTAAGAACAGAAACAGATCAAACAGGTTTGCATTATGCGGCTTTAGTATCACATAAGTTTTACTAAATTCATGTTCCTTCCAAGCCATTTTCTTCTTCTTCTTCTTCTCCTTCTTCCCTAATGAAAAGTTGAAGAAGATGATGTCTGTTTCAGAATCTTAACACTACCCTTCATTATTGCTGCATTTTTATAGTGATTAAAACTCTTTACTTTTCATTAAAAACAAATGATCTTCATTTGAGTCAGCTTTCCATGATCCCAATAGGCACAAGTTCTTAAAATGCATATGGAGGAGGATTGTCAACAGATTAGATGGAATGGTTTGACGTTATCTTAATCTTGAACTTAAAGTTTCCACATTTAAATGGACGAATCTGTCAATCTTAAACTTGAAAGTAATCTAAAAGGTGGGTGCGTTCACCGTCAAAACCAGTGAACACAGGACGTATTATATTTGAATAACTTGTTGTTCACTAGCAAGCCTTGGACTTTCTTTTTTATTCCTTTTTTCCTTCATGGGAGAGACAGAAGGAGATATTGAGCGAGGTGGGTCGGTCTTGAATTATAAAAGGCCATAGCTTCTATGTAATGTTCATTATGATTATACGATATGCCCACAGAAGGAACTCTGGGCTAGCCATACGCGTAAAGTGCGTCCAACTTCTCAAGGACGGTTGATTCATCATGTAGGCTCAACACAGTGACAAATAAGATGGGCAAGGCTCCACTTAGGCTGTGGACAGTGATGATGAACCTTGCCTTGTCGTTGGTTTTGGCAATGTGTCTGAGTTCTGGACGGAGAGTGTAGCATGCGAAATCGTGTAGTTGGGGTTTTGAGAAGTTCCTTTGGCAACCCTGTGGCCTTTTGAAGGCTGAGAGCTTTCATGAAGCCATTGTGGACGCATCCTACGCCTTCGATGTCGTACCTGTTAATTTTAAGGAATGCCAAAGATGGCCAGGGTTTAACTATAATTGACGATGTTCAACCTTGTCGATGCTTTCTAGGAGTCGGCTTCGATGTGTAGCGGACAAGCTTCAAGGTTTCGTTGTGGTCAGGCAGCACCTGTATTTTACCCCAACGAGTCACGTTAACATAATTTGGAATATATGAGCTGATAGTCTTGGAAAGAGCAATCCAAACACCCTTTTCAGTATCGTGACAAATCCCTCGAAGTGTATTCCGTACCTTGAAAATTGGAATTATTATTAAGCTTTTTATAAGCTTCCAACGTGCACTTAAGTGTTTGTAATTGAAAATAGTAGAATCGAAAGACACTCTAGGTACCAAGTCAAAAGAGTAAACATATCATATCTTGTAGCAGCGTTAACCATAAACTCTGCAAATTTTCTGTCTCCAACTCTGGGCTGGCCAGAGTATAAACAACTTGTAGCCTCTCAAGAATTGCTGAATCCTGGTGTAGGGCTAGCCAAAATACAAACACTTCGGTTGGACTCTCATCGATTTCTCACCAGGCAAAAAAAAAAAGATTGAGAATAATAAATCATATATTATTCGTTGATCTCTTGGGTTGATCTCTTGGGTTCAATAATTATTTGGTCCATTTGTTTCAATTTTAAAACTCAAATTACTTCAATTTTTAACTTCAATTTTAGGGTAGAATAATAAATCATATATTATTCGTTGGACAAAGTAATTTAGATTTCTTTTTTTTTTTATGAAAATTATAGTGAAATTCTTATATTATATTGAGAAGAGTGGTGGTGGGGCGTGGGGTCACGGCTTTTTGGGTTGTTGACCGTTGACGCATTGTCTTGCTGTGCTTTCCTATCAACTTTGCACTTAAATATCAAAGCAATAATGGAATTTAAGTGTGCATTATAGAAGCCTTTTCTGTCAACACCCTAACCGTTGGGTTAATTAAACACAAATATCTATTTCATTTTCCACTTACTTCCCTACTCCTCAACTCCCAACAAACTTAGGGAAGGGTTTGATTTTAAAACAAAATCTTTTTTTAAATTAAAATTGGTAGTCGACATAACCCAATCATAAGTGCAAAATGACTAAAATATCCCTACCATACATACATGAAGTGTGGCAAGGGCGCCGCCCAAACTGTGCCCAGTGATGATAAATTTCGCCTTATCGTTGCGTTTGACAATGTCTCTAAGCCTTTGGCGTAAAGTGTAGTATGCGAACTCATGTTCGGCTCCAGGGAGCTCTTTGGGCCACCCGGTAGCCTTTTGGAGGCCAAGGGCTTGCATGAAGCCACTGTGGATGCGCCCAATGCCCTCTATTTTGTACCAAGAGATGTTGAAATCTACCATCCAATCCGAAGCCTCAAATACGGAAGTCCCTCTAAATGCCACAACTGTTACATTCGGGTCTTTCGCTGTGTTTTGAAACATAAATGCACCAGTCGTAGCTTTATTCTGGAAGTCTAAACAAGTTTAATGAGAAAATTTTCGGATGGGTTAGAGATATAAGCACTTATATAACAACACTAGCAAATCTTGTCGGACTTCCACCATTTTTGGGCTCAGCATTCTCCCCGGCCCAAAAAACCATTCCAAACATTCTTATAATTATATATTATTTTATTACCACATGGTTGTTTTTAGTTTTTAGTAAGAGATGTATGATAAGTATAAGAGTTTTTAGTTTTTAGTAAGAGATGTATGATAAGTATAAGACCATTAAATATTAAAAGTCAAATCTATTCTTGATCTTAATTTTATATTTTGTTCGAAAATTAGAAGCCCAACAAAAGGAAAAAAAAATGTGATACCGTTCCAAAAATTGAAGCATCCAAGTAAATTCATCTGCACTTGAAAAGGCAAAGAAAAACATCATCCATCTGTTGTCATAATCCCCAAATGTTTCTCAACAATGGGTACGGATGTGTTTACCTGCCAGCAACCATTTACCACTGAATGAACAACGGAGGGGGAAGCTGTATAATCTTCATACGCCAATTGAGAAGCCATCATGGTTAAGGCTCCATAATATTTGAAACCCTTGTCGTCCGGATCCACTATTTGCCAGTCTCGACATCTCACTTCCGGTCCGGAATCCGAGCTGCTATAGAACTCACCCTTTCCTGTATGCACAATCAAATGAAATAAACAGGAGCCCAAATTGGGTTGAAGTTAGTTTAAAATGTACGTACCAATCATGTAGTTGACGAAAAGGGGTTGAATAACTGAGAGGAATGCGCGCAAGGTCAGGAGCGGGGCGGCGAGGGCGACCAGGAATTTCTGCACCAAAATAGAGACGAAAATGGTCCATCGGGCTTTCAAGCTGCTGTATGACTCTTCCTTGGCGTCGGGGCAATCGATCAAGCTTCTGATCCTTCTGGATCCTAAAGGAAGTATGAACAGAAACACATCCACCAGAGATGCTTTCTTTGGCTTCAGTATCAGATAATCCTCACTGAATTCATTCTCTTTGGAACCCATACCCATTGTTTGGTTTATGTGTAAATGGCGCACTAGGCCGGGGGTTGCTTAGCTGCTTATATATGCTATCTTCCGCCTTGTCTAGAAAGCCAACACCCAGGCCAACTGGTTGATCCAAGAAACACATATTTTAAACCATGCATGCCATAATTATTTAATGCCTTGACTTCGTGGGAAACTATTTAATACTTTTAAATCCTTTGGACTTTGTTTAAGTGTTGTGTTCGTGGGAAACCATTTCGGCATTCTTTAGACTTTTTTCCCCTCTTATTTAATGTAATTTAATTTTTTTATGTACCAAACATATTATTTAAATAACTCATTATTGTTTTTAATTTTAATTTTTTTTTTTATAAATGATAAAATTTCAAATTATGTAAAGTAAGGAATAATAATAATAGATTTTATTAGGATTTATGATTCGTTTTGTGATTGTTTGGAATAAAAAAAGTAATTTTTTATTTTGTTAATTTTAGGAAGGTTTTTGAAATTGAGTCGTAGCAAAAAGGCAAAAGAAAAAAAGAATTTTAAGAATAGCCAATTTTAGATTTTAGAAAATCTATACAGTTAATAAGTTTTTCCATTCTAAAAAGCTGACAAGAGAAGAGCAAAAGTAGAACAAAGGTTACAGAGTTAAAATGTAGAGTGTAATCGAAAAGAGGCTTTCCAGAATTTTTGTTGTCTCCTTGTCTCTCCCCTCGACATCTCATTCACACCCTCATGACTGTTATTTTAAGAAGTTAGTTTTAGAGTCGGTGTTTATTTCTACAAATTGGTATCAGAGTGGATTGTTATTTTCTACAAATTGGTATCATAGCGAATTTTATTTCAACAAATTGGTATTAGAGCCGATGACGAACGTGATGGGACAAATGGCGCTATCACAATTGATGAAGGCGAACTACGATAATTGGAGCATCCAAATGAAAGCTTTTCTCGGTTCTCAAGACGCATGGGAGGTGGTCGAAGAAGATTTAGAAAAACTGAAGGATACCACGGGTTATACGACGGCGCAAAACAAGGTACTAAAAGAATTACGATCAAAGGATAAGACAACATTATACATGTTGTTTCGGGCTGTTGACGAGTTTGACTTTGAGAAGATTGAAAGGGCAACTACTTCAAAAGAAGCATGGGACACTTTAGAAAAAGTGTTCAAAGGAAAATGAAGATGAAGGAGTCAGAAAATGAAGGAGTCAGAAAATGTATCTGACTACATCACGTGCATACAGACCGTGGCAACTCAACTAAATCGAAACTGATAAATGTTACCTAAGACACGGGTTGTGGAGAAGATCTTGAGGTCATTAACAGACAACTTCGACAATGATGTATGTACCATAGAAGAGTCGAAGGACCTAGCGACGTTCAAGGTCGATAAGCTCGCTGGTTCTCTCGAGGCACACGAGCAACGTAAGAAAAAGAAGGAGGAGACACTCGATCAAGCGCTTCAAACTAAAGCATCAATAAAGGATGAAAAAGTACTCTACTCTCAAAATACTCAAGGTAGAGGTCGAGGTGGTCCAGGCAACAGTTACGAAGAAAATTATAAGGGGAAGAGACTATCGAGCCAAGCAAATTGACGTGGAAGAGGACGCAGTCGAAGAAGAGGCGGCAGATCAAATATTCAGTGCTATAAATGTAAAAAATATGGTCATTATGCGAATGATTGTAACTCCGAAAAATGTTACAATTGTGGTAGAATGGAGCACGTTGCAAAAGCTTGTCGAGTGGGAAAAATGGTGGAAGGAACAACCAACCTAGCCGTGGAAGACGTAACAGATGAAGGTCTTCTCTTGATGGCTCAAGATGAAGAGAACATCAACAACAATACTCTGTGGTACCTCGACTCAGGGGCAAGCAACCATATGTGCGGTCACGAGCACCTATTCAAAGAAATGAAAAAGATTGAAGATGGTCATGTGTCATTTGGAGATGCGTCAAAGGTGGAGGTCAAGGGCCGAGGTACGATACATTTCTTGCAAAAGGATGGTGTAATGGGGTCAATCTAAGATGTTTATTACGTACCAGACCTCAAGACTAACATATTGAGTATGGGGCAACTCACAGAGAAAGGTTACTCGATATTCCTAAGGGACCGCCTGCTACACCTGAAGGATAAGAAAGGGCGTTTGGTTGCTTGAGTCGAGATAGGAAGAAATCTTATGTACAAATTGAACTTAGAAACATGTGGATGGGTAGGGAATAAACTTAAATGAAAAAATGTAATTTTTAATTTTGTTAAATTTAGTAATGAATTTTAGGAGATAGTGGACTCCGGTCGGCAAATTTTAAATTTTAGAAAACCTATAAATTAAGTGAGTGAGTGTAATAAGTAAAAGGGTTTTTGAGAATTTCTTGTCTTTTGTCTCTTTGTCTCTTTGTCTCTCTCCTCTCGACATCTCCTTCACAGCTTCGAGAGTGTTATTTTAACAAGTTAGTTTTCTCTTCAGAGTCTCGTGAGTGTTATTTTAACAAGTTAATTTCAAAACGAACGTTTTGGATGGATATTTCCTCAGATGAGGAGAAGTGGAATTTAAGAAAGGAGTGAGTTAGAAAGGGTGATGGGACGCGGCGGTCGGAGGGAATGTATTTGATGGTTTGGGGAAGTGTCTAGATTGAGTTAACTTGGTGGGTTGAAAGACAAAAGGACATCCACCGCGCCGTTGTCAAATCGCTAAAAATGCATGTCAGATTTTCACGTGAAGTTTCCCTTCTGCTCCTCTCCTCCTCCACCGCCTGCTGCGCCCCCTCATAAACTCACCCACCGTCATTTCATCCCTTCCATGCATCTATATATATTCACACACCCACACACTCGATCTCTTCCGATTCCAATTTTGATGTGATTGAATTGAACATGGTATCACAGAGCTGTCTGCGTTCGAATCATCCGCTTACCTTGATTTTACGTTAATTTGGGTGATCAATAGTAGTACAAGATTGTATGAGAAACAGACAAAATCCATACAGTTAATTGTCTCCTTAGATCTTTTTTCCAACAGACATGTAAGAGAGGAGAGATTTTCTTGCATCTCTGATTCAACAAGGAATCCTCAAACTTCAAAGTGGAAGAACAAAGCATGCATCAATTTTATTCAGTTTTTTTTTTTTTTTTTTTTTTAGGCAAAGGACTCTTCAGTTAGCGATATAACGCAGAGGGAGAGAGAGAGAGAGAGAGAGCAGAGAGCTTCAATTTTGATAGCCCTGAATTCCTGTTTCTTATTAGACTATTTTTGTGAGGCTAATTTTAAGCATCTCCGTACTGCTCAAGGTTGTGAGTCATTTGGGATGGTTTGGCCATGGGGACATAGCTGCCACTTGACATTTCCAGAGGAAACCCTACGCCAGATGCTGGTGCAGCAGCATCAGGGAGTGGCCTGTTGGTGGCGGCTCTTTCGAGGGATTGCACTTGGGTCTTCAAGAATTTTACGTAATGTATAGCCTCATCCAACATAGAAGCGGTATCCATTTTGGTACCTCCAGGGACCAATCTTTGGAGTATCCTAATTCTCTCGCTAATTCTCTCTCTTCTATGTCGAGCCGCTACGCTTTGTGGGTCAGTTGAAATCTTGACGTTCCTCCTCTTCGGTGGCTTCACCGCTTCTGGGTCTATCTGAATTGGTTGCATCACTGCTATTCGGAATATCATCTCCCTCATCGCCGCCACCGACCTCTGTTTCTGCAAGTCCGTTTCACCGCCAGAGTTTCGCCACCGTGAACTGGTGGGGAATGGAACAGTTTGAGGCAAATTATAAGGTAGGTTGTTGGTGAATGGAGGCGACGAGGACTCTGCGGCTTGTTGAAGGGTTTCCAGGCAATGTGGGTCGGTGGTGCTTGAGCTGAAATGATCAGACGGCGGTGAGAGATGATTGTAAAATTCAGGGATTTTCTCCATTTGTTGCATCATCATCATAATCTCCATCTGATCCTCCGATTTCAGATCATCATTTTCCATAGATTATTATTATATGATTCTGGAAGTGACCAAGAAATAGAATTTGGAGAGGGTAAGAAGAAGAGGAAGAGAGAAGGAATAATAAGTAACAATACAAAGAACACGCTACCATAGGGTGGCCGTTCCATATATAACAACTGGGCGGGGGGGGGGGTTGAATAGTATATTACTTTTTTTATTTTTTATTTTTTAATTCATTTCCATGGGGGAGGAAAATGAGAAATTTCCTTTTTTGACATCAGCTTTATTTCTTTTTTTAATTTTTTTTATTCATGGAAACGATAAATAATGAAAAAGACTTGCTGGGTGTTAGTTATTATTGCAGCCAGAAAGATGATGATCATCTGGAAGCATGCTCACTTGATCAAAATTGATCCTGGCCGTTGAAGTTGTTACGTGGGGTCAAGGGGGTACAGGATAAGTGGAAGCCTGAAGCAGAAGCTCCCAATGCTTGGATTAAAATATTGTTATCATATCTTATCTTTGCCCGCAAGGAGATATCAAAATTCTTTTTTTCTTTTTTCTTTTTTTTTTTAATTTTTTAATCAAAATCTTGCACCACATCGATCCAAGGGTATTGAGATGCCATGGTGTGAGATGAAATGGCCCACCAAATTAACGATTACGATCTCTCCACCGTTCTGTACATACTTTTCAACGCAAAACTTGTTAAATTATTAATTAAAAATAAGCGGTATTGTATGAAAAAGAGTCAAAATAAGGAAAATAAATATTCCGAATAGGTAAAACAAACGGTAAAAACTGTTTGTTTTTAACGTGACACGTGGCAATAACTGATTGGGAGCATGGCTGGACGGCAAAAGCTGGTGCAGTCCTAGTAGCACCCAAGATTTACTCTCGTTGGGGCAGTCCAAAGGAGAAAAAAAAGAAAAGGTTCTGTATTTATTTTATTATTGTATTATTATTTTTTGGAAGAACCGAAGAGCCCCCACGCCACATGGTAATTGTCAGAAATCTCACAGGTGGAGCAAGTTCAAAGTTTTTACACTTGGCGGTGAGGAGCATGAGCCGTTTGATTCCCCGGCGGTGAGTACGTGGCAAGAATCAAGGGCGAACTAACTGGGAGACGAATACTGATTTGATTCAATACGTCATCGGTTGAATTTGAAGGAAGGAAGGTGCTGCTATAGGCCGAAAAAAGTCTCACACTGTTCGAGGCAGATCAGGATCAGGTTCTGAAGCCTACCTACTTGATGTGGAGCTGGGAGTACTACTTAAATTATTTGGGGGAGAGATAGAATGATCATGAATTTATAAATAATAAATAGTTTCTTTTGATAATAAAGTTTTTAGAGAAACAAACAAAAAGTCATAAAAATTTATGCTAAAAATGGATAATATCATACCATTGTGGAGAGTCATGTTCTTAATATAAAATTATGCATGTTCTTTGTTTGACACTTCAAGATTCTATAGACATGACATGCATGTTCTTTGTTTGACACTTCAAGATTCTATAGACATGACTAAGTGTCAAACAAATGAAATACTTTATTCTAGGGCTCTAAAGGAGTCGAGCCTCGATTAATGAGAGATTGTTTGAAGACTCCATAGACCTCAAAGAAGACTCTATGGTGCACTTTGTTCGAGGAAAGAATTGTTGAGAGTATCACATTGGCTAATTAAGAAAGCGATCATAGGTTTATAAGTAAGGAATACATCTTCATTGGTACGAGACCTTTTGGAGAAACCAAAAGCAAAGTCACAAGATCTTAGGTTCAAAGTTGACAATACCATACCATTGTAAAGTGATCGTGGTTCCTAACACTCCGAACGAACTCTTTAAAATAAACCTGAAAAAGATCCGAATTTGAGAAGGAACGGCGAGAGAAGTGGTGGGAAGAGTTGTTGGTTTTCCTAATACTTAAGATGGAAAAGGCCAACACGTACCAGAAGCAAATATGGAGGAGGCCATTTTCAGCAGACAAGGGAAAGAATGGAAGCTTGGGGTTAGTTAATTGATAGGAAAAAACATGCATTATATCGCCAAGTTTAAATTTTGAAACAAGTAAGAATAGGGCGCTAGTCTTGCAGCCGCCAAGAATTACTCTGCAGGAGATGGTACATAAGTATCCTCCTGTCTTTTAATCTGGCACAATCATTTAACATTAACTCACTCAAAAGCAACAGAATTCTCTGGCACCAACATTTTGATTTGGTGCCCAGATCAAGGAAATCAATCACTCTGTATGTCACAAACAGAGGAGGATAATAAATTATAATATCATTTGTAAAGGTGTGTGGAGCACATACATAAAATGTGAATAAAGAGATATGTTCCGCTGCAGAAGATGTTCTTTTAGATAAAAAAAGAATCCAATGGTAGAGAGAGAGAAAGAGAGACCGAACCTTTGTTACTGAGTTTCTTTCCGCTGCTTACACCACCTTATCTTTTCTTCCCCACTGAGCACATTAATAGTTCTTGTTAATAAGATATGATATGTTAAAATAATAGAACTGAACAGAACAGAACATAACAAAACCAGACCCACAAAATTATAACAAAGAGACAGAGTGGAGATGGTCCCCCTGAGATCTCAACTTCAACTCTCTTTTCTTTACATTATAATCATCATCGCATTCAACTTTGGACGGGTTGGGGTTATTTTGCACGAATCATTCCATCAAAGGGCATCTCTTCTTCCACTTGTTTTGTTTCGGCTATCAACCACTTTCAACACGACACCTCACTCTTCACAATTTTTTCCCTAGTGGGAAATTATTTTTGGCAGTTCATTCATGTAAAAAGCCCGCCCCAAAAAAACACGTCTACCTCATGCAACCGGAATCAAACACCCACATGATCAAAAATATTCTTACAAGCTTAAGGTACTTCCAGAAGTAACACCATGTACGCATCTTATTCCAGGAAAAAAGGTTCTAGAACTTACATTAATCGTGGATGTCTTTCTAACAATTCCACCAAAGACTCTTCGACTCGATTATACAATTTCTAGAACACTAAATGGATCAAAAAAAAATTTAGGGTGTGGAAACCTCTTCCTATCAGACACGTTTTAAAAACTTTAAAGAGAAACTCGAAAGGGAAAGCCCAAAAAATACTATCTGCTCAAACAGTTTTAGTTTGATTGCCATCAGGAAGCTTATTAACATAAAATTGATGTAAATTGGCGTACATTTTTCTCCATTGTTGTAGCATTTGCATGGATTTTCCATAATCACGCTGAAGTCTTTCCAACTCCATTCCTGTGGCAGCAGAACCCTGTTGCTGAAGTAGAGAAACCGCATGGTAGTACAAGTTTTGTGTACAGAAGAATATGAGTTATTATCACAAATGAAGTGTATGCCTGTCCCAAAACAACACAGGATACAACATGGAGTCTTAGGTCCACGGGGAAAGGGGGACTGAACAAGAGCAAGCACCTGAAGTTCGGTGATATGATTATCCATCATGTGAGAGCTAAGGGGGGAAAACCCCATTAGATTCCATGGGAGGGCCTGATAGACCAATCATAACACCAGTGTCTTCATCCTCCTCCTTTGAGTTTTCAAATTTTGCAAGGGCAGGAGGTAACAGTAACCGGTGCTTTCTCAAAGAACCTTGGGAAGTTGACTGCAATTTAGGGTGGAGACATTATTACTATTAAGCAGTTCCTGTAAATACTAGAGATAAAATAATAAAAAAGCTGGTCACGAATTCAGTAACCAAAGGCTAACAGCATTAGCTAGGGCAACTAATATGCAGAAAATTATAGCTATATAGCAAATTAATAAAGACATTCAAATCATATCATGCATAGAAACCTATAAATAAAATGTTAGGAATCACGACCCTCCACAATGGTATAATATTGTCCATTTTAAGCATAAGTTCTCATGGCTTTGCTTTGGCTTCCCCAAAAGGCCTCGTACCCATGGGGATGTATTCCTTACTTTATAAACCCAAGATCATTCCCTAAATTAGTCAATGTGAGACTCACAACACTCCTCAACATAAGATACATCTAGTTTATTGAAAGAAAACATAAAGGGGCCTTTTAGCAATGCTAGACACAAATATTATCAACTTGGAAGCTAATGCCTAGCTCTTAAGCAATCAAGACACCATTAAAAATACCGTAAGTACAAGTAAAAATGTGCACCGAACTAATGGCAACTTGAAATTCCTCAACATTTTATTGCATAATTATATCATTAGTCAAGCAACTACTTAGTGCATGGAACAAAGAGAACAATCTAGGAACCAGAAAGGATAAAACAATTTAGAGGAAAACTTGATAAAAATACAGACCTTTGATTAGACAATGAGCCGAGAATATGCAATCCGTAGGCACTGCTGGATGGGGCATTTAGCATTAAGTGCAGCAGTGTAGAACTTCCCATCTCTACACCACCATAGAAGACACTTCACCAGGATCCAAAGCAATTGCATCAATGATTGAAGGAAATATGATATTTCTTAATAATTTCCCATTAGATAAGCTCCACACCTACAAGAGCCCAGTTAACATATAGCATATGAAACACCGGAAGACAATTTGATACGATAGAAGTTAGGATAGGAAAATACTCATTACTCATTGGTGATAAGTAACAATTCAACAAAAAAAATATTGCACCATTTATTTATAGAAAGAAAGACATTACGTTGATATGATGAAATTACAAAGAAAGGGAAGCCCAATCAGTCATGAGATTAGTTAAGCTGTAATTACAAAAAGGAGGACTCAATTTACACTAATTAAAAGACAAGATGTAACCGCTCAAGGGGTGGATTGTAAGATCCCACATTGGATAGAGAGGAGGAGGAAACCTCTCCCTAGTAAATGCGTTTTAAAATCTTGAGGGAAAGCACGGAAGGGAAAGTCCAAAGAGGACAATATCTGCTAGCGGTGGGCTTGGGCTGTTACAAATGGTATTAGAGTCAGTTATCAGGTGGTGTGCCAGCGAGGAACTAGGCCCCCAAGGGAGTGGATTGTGAGATCCCACATCGGTTGGAGAGGAGAACGAAGCGTTCTTTATAAGGTGTGGAAACCTCTCTTTAGTATACGCGTTTTAAAACTGTGAGGCTGACGACGATACGTAAC